ATGAAAAGTTGAATTACACTCAGAGGAAAAGATGGGATAAGAGGCAGACGAAGAGGAAAGCTTAAGGGATGAAACCTTATCTAAAAAAAGAATTTGAAAACGCTCACAAAGAGCTTGTGAATACAGTAAAGGCATATCAGGACAGGGATTAACAACAGAATTAAAATTTTTAAATAGCATACGGGGGTTGTGACCATTAGCTAAAATGACTTTGGAAAGAAAAGATGCCTTAGCCATTCTAGCAGCAGTTTGAAACTGTGAGTGGCTAGTCCGTAACATGTCATAAGAAACCTGAAGTTTATCTTTTTTCCAGCAATGAGAGTAGGTTCTAGGGCACTTCATTTTGATGGGAGCAACAGAATCAAGAATAGAAGAACAAAAAGATAACAGGATATTAGCACAACCATCAACCGAGCAGAAAGAACAGTTGTCAGGTACAGCCAAATCAGGGGTAGATGAAAATAATGATAACAAAATATCAGCATAACCATCAGATGAGCGAACTGAGCAGCAGTCAGGAATCATAAACGCCAAATCTAAAAAAGACACAGCAAACTTTGGCACAGCTTCAGAGCTGAGTACGCGTAGCGGACGAGAAAGAGCTCCAGACTGCGGTCCAGCGGCAGATAAACCAATATCAAAGGAAATAGGAAAATGATCTGAAATCCCAGCGTCATTTATATCCTTAATACAGATATCCAGGCCATACATAAAGACCAAGTCCAAAATATGGCCTTTACCCACTGAAGGAGGTTAAAAGAGTCCATTAAAGCAAGAAAGTCTTTAGCAAGCAGGTCATCCTTACAACAGATGTGTATGTTAAAATCACCAAGAATAAGAACAGAATCATATTTAAAAAGAACGGAACCCAAGAAGTCAGCAAAGTCCAAGATAAAACACTTGTTATATTTGTGCAGTCGATAGACCAACACACACAAAGTGGTCGTGGAAGCAGTCATCTCCAATAACTAAACTTCAAAACTAGCAATGTTAGGCGAGGAAAGTTGCCGAACATTATATACGTTTTTAAAAACCGAGGCTAAACCACCTACCCTACCAGAAAGCCTCGGTGAACTAAAAAAGGCACAGTCCAAAGGAAGAAGTTCAGAGAAAAGAATGAGCTCACCAGGGCGAATCCAGGTTTCTGTAAGGAATAAAACATCAAGGCCGCTAGTAGAGAAGAAGTCATTGTAGCGTGTGAGGATGTATCTCTGTGTGTGGCTGGAAAATTCACAAATTACTGCCTGAGAAAGCAGCGTTGGTGTGCTGTTTAGAAGTCAGAGGTGCTGTGATGGCTTGCTGTTGAAGCTGCAGATTGCAGATGTCCTCGAAGGCGACAGCACAGTCCCCAGTGTACGTGTGTGTGTGTGTGTGTGTGTGCGGGGGGGTCTGATTTAGATTCTGACAGACCTGCTGATATACTGTGTATCATGTTTTTTAGTTCCTTTGCCATTTCTTTTAGATTTTTCTTTAGTTTTGTACATCATGGATCATAAGCAATAAAGAACTTAAGGATGAAGTCTGGATGAAAAGTAGTTTTCTAAGATTTTACTTGTTAATACTGGAAAAATGACTTGAATTCTTGTCTTATATGAATAAAAACTACTCAGTTAAAAACTGTAAGATTTTTTTAATACCACAATAGTGGAGATCTTTTGTTTAACAGCACTGAGTCCTGGGTCCAGTGCACCTTTGCTGGATGTTTGCAGTATAACATAGTTCTGTTACTGATTTTCATAGCACCACCACCACATTCTTTATTATTGGCATTTTTATAGCTCTCTGAATTTGGTTTACTCGCAATTTTTTTTAATGTTTCCGGCATATTCTGCCATTTACTAACTGAAATGTCCTGTCTGCTTTTAAAGCATTAAGAGGAAATTGTTTATGCATGTATACCAGTGTTTCTAATAATGTGGCATTGATATCAGCTGGTTTCTTTTTCAAATTCTCTTCAGTCGCTCTTCGGTTGTATTTCACAGAAAGCCCTAACGAAATCCCTACAGCCTGCAGGGCAGATGCATGCAGTTGCTTTGGGTTGCTTGGGAGTAAGGCCCAGCCACCAGACCCTCACCCTCAATCCCCTACCCCATGCCTGGCTCCAGGCCAGAACCACGGTGACTCTATTCTGTGCAGCGGGTCACTCTTGGATCCTCACCCAGAACCAGTTTGCCTTGGGAGATCCGACCAGGGGCAGATTGACCCACACAACATATCTCCTGTGATCACTGGACATGCAAATCCCTCCACCACGTTAACGTGATGATTCAAGGAGGGGACTGCATATTTAGAAGGTAGCAAACTGGCAACCATATGTTAGCCTACCATGGTTTGCTACTTTACTTCTTAACTATTATTTAGAAAATTAATAACACGTTGTATTCAAAGTGAAACTAGCAACTGAGACCATTAACTCATCAGGACAGTCAATAAGGTCACAAATCAAGTTAGCAGTACGTTCATTTCCTCATAAAAGTTGCCCCTTCTGGCCATTTAGAGAAAAAAAACAGGTTCACGTCCACATTGGCTTTACTTTTGGATGCTAACTCTTTGCTATGCGTATGGTTTATGAATGAGCAATCTGGGAACCCACTGGCTAGTCTGATTAATTAGCATCTGGAGACGATGCCAGCAATTCTGGGCTTATACTGAAGCCAGTAAAGATCTGTTCCAAGATTTCCTGTTCCGGAAATCGTTTATGAATGCAGGTAAATTAGAAAAAGATGATGAGAAAAAAAATCAGTGTCAGACAATAGCTGATGGCTTTTTAGATTGCATTTCAGCACGCCATACCTCTTTTAATCTACACAAAAACTGTTCACTTGCATACATTTTGGGAAGTTCTTTACCAAAACTCTGCAGATTTGGCATATTCGTGCTCAGATATCTGTTTATGGAGATTAATGACAAAGTAGCAACTCAAGCTGTTACTACAATAATAACCACACAAGTTATTAAATCTACTATGAGTGAAATCCCGAAGGTTCTCACTTTAAACTGTGTAGTCGTGCTCTGGTACTGATGCGCAGGTGTGTGCTTTTGCTGCAATTGCCTGTGGGAACTCAGTTTCACAGATAGCTCTCAGTGAGGTTGGAAAGAGCAATCTTAGATTCAGTCTCTCGCTCTCTCACACACACACTGAGGGAAAAATAGAAATAGTCCATTCTCATAAATCTGAGCAATATTTGGCTCCATTTCCTATATATTAGACACAGTCCGTCTGTCTGTCATGTGTGCCTCTAGAGAATTTAGAGACTGCACGCCACACACATACACACTGGCACTCGGATAGCATCAGGGGCTTAGAGCAGGAAGCAGAGGCTCACAGATGACTTTGGTGAATGCACGTATGAATGTTTTTTCTCCCCTCTCTTGCCCCACAACTTTTCTTTCTCCTCTTTATCTGTCCTCACACCCTGCTCCCACCTGCTTGGCTCGGCGCACCCCACCCTTCCACTTTCCCTTTCTTTCCACTCCCTCCTCCCTTCACTTCAGTTGTGCTGCCAACTGCTCAGCCGCTCCACTCACACCACTGGCAGAGAGCGAGCCCTAATCCCTCACACGGCCCTCAAAACTGCGCCTGCTGGATCTCAGAGCTTTGGCGCTTCTAAAAGCTTTCCATGAGAGAGACAGGAAGGATTGCGGGCTGACAAATGGACAAAGAAAGACCGACAGGCTTGCAGACAGACGGACAGAAATGGCAATTTTATACAATACTAAGAACACAAAACCCCAGAAGCACAACAGCAATGCAAGAGCCAAAACATTTTGTGTTCACACAACCATTACTGTGTGCGTTTGCATGTGTGTGGGTGGGTGTGCGCTTTAGTTTGTGTGTTCAGTCTGATCTGATCCCGTTATTTCTCTGAGGGTGAAGTTAGAGTGCAAGCATGAAGCACAGAGACCATCTAATGCAATAAGTCAATATTACAACCCATCACTGCACACACACACACACACACAGCACAAAATAGCCTTCCAGAAGAAAATGTGAACATTTTGTCTTTGCAGATCCTTTGAGTTTTATTATTCTCCATCATATTCCCTGTACTCACCACTGATGCACAGCTACAGTGGAAAAACTGTAAAAATCAAAGGAGGAATAGTAGAATATGACCAGGAGGAGGTGATACATCAAAATCAACAACTGTTTATGCATCACTTTCAATGCAACCCCACTTTATGAGTGGGGGAGAATGCACTGTGACTTCACCCACAGGTTTTCCTACAAACACATGACATAATTTTTATAATTTGCAACATTAATAAGTAATTATCTTAACTGGTGATGACAACATTGCTCTATGGCTGCAAAATAACCAGCGCACATGAAGCCCTTGTTTGCATTTACATTGTTCTACTGCAATTTTACTGCAGCAAAACAATGACAATAGTTATTTTATTTTACTAAAATAACTATTTTGCAATCTTGCCATAAAGTGCTTCGTGCTATTACTATATAATGTTTCCACTATAATGAAACCAGCTTATCCGTCAATGCATGCAAGCCTAACTAACAAGCTGTTAGCATCTATAGACTGTAGGGGCACGTCACACAGCAACACAAGTGGCTGTTCAAGGAGCTTCTGTCTTGACTTCATTTTCCAACCAACACATTTATCAACCCAGACATGAGTCCGAATAGCTACAATAATGGGAACGAAACTCAAGTTGAACTGTAATTTTCCATTAACGCCGGCCCTCTTCCAAGAGGTAGGGTGCTCAGAAGCTTTGAAAAACATGACCTTTCAGTCAGTAGATGGATGTCTTTGAAACAGACCAGCCTATAGGTACTTGAGCAAAAGAGGAGAAAAATAATCACCGTCACACTAGATGTCCATTCTAGAAAAAACATTATAGTACAATTAAAAGTTAAAGTGAGGACTCTTTTTTATATAAATCTGTATTTGTTAGATTAAAAAAATCTTTAGATGAGGCAGAACTAGTCTTAGTTCATGTTTATGCTGCGATTTAAAAGGTTTAAGACTGGGGACTGGTTTCAGGCGTGTCAACCATCTTTTCTAGCACATCAAGATGTGACATAGTTGGGGTAGAGGTCAGAGGTCAAAAGTGGACCAGAGACAGATTTTAGTTTCATAATTATAGAAATGGCACACTTCGTATACACTAGAAACACACAATGTGCTCTCATGCAAATAAATAAAAACAAGTACAATACAGAGCAGCAATTTACCCAAGCCTTTCTGACACACACACACACACACACACACACACACACACACACACACACACGATCGCTGGCCTATCTTGGTTCTCTCACTTGCAGTAGCGCTCTCTTTCTAGTCTC